TAGTTAAAAATAAAGTGCACTAGCCCGGTACTAAACATAGTAATTTCTCCATAACACTGACAATTAACTGTTTCTACTTTATGCCACCCAATGAGAGAAATTTAGAAAAATGTTGGCCTAGTGGTATAGCATTCGATCCTCAACTCTGAGGTAGTACATTCAAATCCCGGCAATGACTTTTTATATATACAATTATCATTTGCTCGTACGGTGAAGGAAGGGACAAAAATTTACTGCTTGTGTCAGGTGTAGTAGTTTGGAAGACTTTGGATTCGTTCTTCGCCGAAATATGGGATTTATGGCAACAAATAATATTAATAATAATAGTAAAAATAATTATAACATAATATCATACCATTAATGAAAAACTGAGTTATATTTAATTTGGGGGTAATATGATATAACAAGAAAATCAGGGGGCATTCCATTTTTGTGTGTACATATTCGATATTTACCAATATCCAATTTTCTAAGTATACATACAAGCTATAAACATAAAACCTCCGAGGGTCGTAATACGGCTGAAATAAGGCAAATCGAGTTTGTCCCAAACCCCAAGTAATCTTATACCTTTGTGTAATCAGATGTGTCATTTTTCAGTACAGTAATGCGGCACTATTTGTCTTGCCTCTCAAATCTGACAACATAAGAGAATGTCATAGCTTTATTCATGGGTCGGTTATTCGTAATCTACTTCATTCGTTACGTGTCCATTATCAATGTGTTTATATGTATATTGTATATTTAATAACTATATAATAAATTTTCTTCAGCGATGCAGGCATGGAATTATCAAGTGATTCGTAATTATAATGAAAGAATGAGCTTTTCACCGCATTTATTACGTTATTTATTTATTTATCCACAAAATCACAATTCAATACACAATATCGCAGCTTACTCACTCCTTAAATGTTCGCAGAATATATAAATTTCGACTATGTATTAGCGTGTTGTTCCCACGAGAATGAAAGTGCGTGCTACTATTTCACTATGCCTCCTGCTGATAAAGGAAAAATCTTTGTTTTTAATTTATTTTATTATTATTAATTACTTAAAATGTCATGTGGAACATGGTGTAATGGTTGCAGCTCCTTACAAACATTGTGTAAAACAAAAAACTCGGCAATTAAAAAAAGTGGCGGAGAGTTTATTGCCAGTTCTTCTCTTCTGTTCTACGCCCTTGATTAGGGAACTGGCAGTAAATGTAAGATTAGAAGTATTTAATATGTATTTCTTGACGTTCATAAGTGTACATTGTGTTACCTTAATGAATAAATGATTTTGTTTTGATTTGATTTAAAGATGTCAAAAGTGTCTGAGACAGCATTCTGTAAGCGCAACGTCGAAGACGGGGATCTGTGCGACAGACTGGTTCTTGCCCTTAGTATTGAAAACAACCTTCGCCTTCGCCGTCGCATATAAACCTTACAAAGTACCCGAGTTCTTGGAGAACACTTAGGTTGCTCAATTTTAAGTAGATAGTAGGCCAACAGTAAATCCCATGTAATTTCTAATTTAGTACCCCACCATCCCCAAGACAAATTATGTTCGGTACAGAAAGGGGCATAGTAGGGATAGATGCCATAGATGTTATAAAAATTTGGTAAAAATCTCAGTTTTGTATCGCGCAACCCGGACATACAACAACCAATATTAACCCTTGACTTGTTTAAACTATCGCGGACTATGGTTAAAATGAGTATTAAGAATATTCTTAGCGCAAAATCACCTCCATCATGCATACCCCACATACACACCTTCACGTACATAACCTTACTTTTACACCATGGCCCATTATCGAATTAGGTATTACTTAGTTGACCTTTACACCTTTATACCTTTTTGTAAATATTATGGCCATCTTTGGCTATATTTTAGTGTAATTGTTTGTTTTTATATATATTTTTCGTAAGCTGTAGGATTACGAAATAAACATTCTGTACCTAGTTCCTTAATCAGTATCGTTAGTTTTTTTATCTGAGTTACGCATCAATAAAATGTCCAAATCCTTAATTCCAAATCAAGTTTACTTTTTAATTCGCTGCCGGAAAATAAGGTTTGAAGTCCGCCATTAAATTAAACTAAACCAATATAATTATCATAATTCGACTATTCCAGACTCTCGCGCTGAAACTCGTTATAAATTCACCAATCGATTTTAAACTCTAACTTTAAGTGCGTAAGGTTTATTTTTGTATGCTGAAATACGCTATGAAAACTTGATGTAAGCAAAGTTGTGATTCAGAAAGCTAAGTGTTTTATTGATGAGATTCTCCTTATTGGCAGTGTAAAACTCATGTTGTCAATCACTATTAGTATTATTTACTATTTTTCAATTATAATCTACTGGATTTTGAAAATTATAATTTATAATATAGCATTAAGCAAGGTTAATAGAATATATTTTTTTAAATAGGCTAATAAATATAATTGCTGTTAATTTTAAGCTTAAAGATACAATATAAATTTATTTTAATAAAATTTATATCATAATCGTTACATTTTAATTTAAGTATCTTCGCCTCATTAATTTCACTTCTCACACTAATGTGTGTGCTTTTTGATTTGACTCTTTTTAAATATGTTTATAGGGAAGTATTTTATTAGCCATGGACTTCACAGTACAAGCAAGTATTATGCAAATTACACAAAGTTTGTAAACAAACACCTCTGCGATTACTGGTCCAATTTTATGAATATACTAGCTGACCCGGCAAACGTTGTTTTACCATGTATGTATATATCTAGAAAACATTTTTTAGTTCATAAAAATAACTATCTTTTGTAATAAAAAATAGCAGTTGATCGTAGGGGTCGTATGTATTTTTGTATGCTGTAGGTATCATAAAAAATAAAAACAAAAAAATTGTCTTAAAAATAAAAATATTTTTTTGGGGTGGACAGCCCTTATCACTTAAGGGTTTGAATGATAGATAATAGCCGATTCTCAGACTTACTGAATAGGCATAAAAAGTTTCATAAGAATCGGTCGAGCCGTTTCGTAGGAGAACGAACAATGTCACACGAGAATTTTATATATTAGATATGGATACTTTTAAGTGTACATTTGGCAGCTTCAATGTCATAAACTATTTTTTGTGATAAAAGTCATCCACCCACTTTTTATTCTTATGACATGGCATTAAAAATAACATAAACCTCAGTGGTTGATAACGCGGGGTACGAAGGCCCGACCACTTTGTTAAGACTCTCTCGTAACACTTGGCTACACTTCGTCATATCTACTATATTTAAATAACCATTCCAAATAATTGAAATTGTAAAATCAAAATAAATTTGACTTTATTCGCTCAGTATAAGGTTTAATTTATGCTCGCGCAATAAGGCTTTTATGAATAGCAATAAATATAAATCTCGAAGGCTTTGTCAGCACTTTTCACAAGTACGTGAACATCTGGTGTTTCAATTTGTTAGAGTCTGATATTTTGTGATAAGCCGATTATAGCACATCCTTTGCCGCTGTGGGCCACGGAGTATGTTTCTAGCTTTTGACAAATCTTGGAAATGTTTTAAGATAGATTTAAAGACAAGAACATAATATTAAATAATACTATAAATTAAAAGAGTTAAAGTAGTAGTTGTTCAAATAGAAAATGCTTTGTTGGTCAGTCAATTTATCTATAAAAAAGAAAAAACAATGGCACTATTTGGCCTCAGATTTCTGTATGATTTTCTCTTTTTAAGAAGCAAGTAGGTGATACCTAACCGATGCCGTCTATTTTTGGATGCCGGTTAACGATTTTTTTTCACCGTACGGGAGTTATGTAACCTAACATTACTTAAGTTACATATATATATATATATATATATATATATATATATCTCGCAGCCAACTAGCTTAATTTAGCCGTTCAATAAACAGCCTAGCTGTTTAACTAAACGGCGCTGTTTAACTAGCGGCCTGAAAGATGTTCAGCCAGTTGATCAAACAGCTAGGAAAATGACTTGAACCGATGACGTTTCATTCCTTGCCTAGCCTGTTGACTGTTAATTTAAATTTAATTCCATTTTCTGCCACTCTCAAACTCAAAACGAAACTCTACAAACTGTCAATATGGCGTCAGCAAACCACAACTTTGATGGTGTTTTCCAAAGTTTAAGTTTTAAGGTGTAGTGACAATTATAATGTGAATTTGACTTGACTCTATCGTACGAATGGCCTAAGCGTTAGCCAGCCAGTTTATTAAATGTTGTAACAAACGTTACGGCTTAGTTAGGGCACTGTTTAGTTAAAAGGCTAGGCTGTTAAGTGAACGGCTGATTAAGTTAGTTGGCTGCGACATATATAGTATCTAAAAGTGCAAAATATAGACAATCATTGTACACTTGAAGCCAATATGAGCCCTTTAGATCTTACCACACTCATAAATTGTAATTTAACATTCTCGTTTCCGATAAAGTCCAATAACAAAGTGTCACTTAGATTTACGAACTATATAAGTCAATTTATTTTTTTGTTAATCCAGCGTCCCACTACCCCTAATGTTATCTTATTTATAAGCTAATGTTTTAAACAATTAAAGCCAGTTGTTACCCAGCTTCAAACATATTCATACAACAACCGCAATGAAACTTAATTCGGACGTGTGTTAAAAGAAGAAGTTAATGCTAATGCTACGGCCAAAGTATACGAGTCAAACAACTATTATATAATTTAAGGCTGTTACGAAACGTAAATATGAAACATTATTTTTACCCACGGATATCCTTAATATTGTTCTGGAATTGCTCAAAGTTTTGTTATCATTATTCTCTTTGAACGAGATAAATTAAAGTGCTTTTAATTCTTAGTTTATTTTAGGTTTTCTTAACCAGGCTACATAGTTATTAGGTAGTGTAGAGTTCGATTTTTATTGACAACTCAATTGATTTAACACTTTAAAAATATCATGTTTCAAGTAACAATAGTTTTTTAGATGTGTCTTTGTGACCTTTTGCTGAAGGTAAGTACGAAATCATACGTAGTTATTTTAACTCTAAGTCACTACCATAATTACCTGTGTATCTCTATGTATACTGTAGGTAGACCAGCAGCACGGTTCCACCTGGTTGGAGTCCAGACCCCAGAACTCCAGCTCTTCTTCGAAAAGAGGCCCACAGACATTTGTTGGGTAGTGCAGTTTACCGGTTCTGGAACAAGTTGAAAGTACAAACAATTGCATATCAAATTATGTTTACATTTGAATTCAATTGAAATTGTGATTAAACATAAGAAATAAATCAGTCTTCATGTACCGTTTCAGCTAAAGTACTTCTTGTCGTCACAGCGTAAAACAATTTTACCGAAAGAGTTCTCTAATTAAAGTAATACAATGACTCGTGTATTTTTATATATATAAATAATTTAAAAACAAAAGGCTTTTACATAAGTCAAAAGACAAAAATTCATATAGGTACACAGTGTACACATATACACGTCAATAAAGAAATATACATTAAATGCTTCTAATTTTACATTTACTGCCAGTTCTCAAATCAAGAGCGTAGAACGGAAGAGAAGAACTGGCAATAAACTCTCCGCCACTCTTTTTAATGGCCAAGTTTTTTTGTTTTATACAACGTTTGTAAGGAGCTGCAACCATTACACCATGTTCAACACGACATCTTAAGAAATAAATAATATAATAAAATAAATTAAAAACAAAGATTTGATCTCTATCAGCATCAGGCATGGTGAAATAGGTTATATAACTTAAGATATTAATCTGAATATTATGTATTTCAAATTTAACAGATTAAATTATTGATACCGCAATAACTATCTCTTGCTTAATTATTTTGTGTAATTACTCGCCTCAGCGAGTTCCCATCAGAAATTCATGCGCTTACTTAAAATCGATAATTGATTAAATATTCAAGGATCCACAGTTTCGTAATTAATGCTCATGGTGCATCCGGGTCCTAGGTTTGATTACCATTGGTCTAATTGGTCTGGTTTGACTCCAGATTATATTAAAATTCTCGTGTCACAATGTTCGTTCCCATACTCCTACAAAAGGGCTCGACCGATTCTTATAAAACATTTTATGCATATTTGGTAAGTCTGAGAATCGTCTACTATCTATCTTTCAAACCCCTAAGTGATAAGGGGTGACCCCAATTTTTTTTTTTGATGTGATTTGAAGTGACACGAATTCGATGTAAAATGGTGCGTAATCTTATCAACAAATGGCACCACATTGTGTTTGCATTCGTAAAATTATAAGTAGTGTAACTAACACGACTTTGTTTTATATCTATAACATATATTCATAGGTATCTGATTGTCCTCCTTGTAACAAAATTACATAATAAAGGCCTATTTTATGTATTTTATAACATATATATTATATACATGCCTTATTATATAAACAACTTTCAGACGTAGCAATTACAAACGGTATTTTGTGTGTACAGGCGTAGATAAACATATCTAAAAGTCAAGAGTTCCAAGAGTGCTGGCTTGATGCCAAACATTGCCCATCTTTGTAACAGTATGCCACTTAGTTTTCAAAATTCCCATTTCACTTTTAGTGGAATTACTTCATAGTACGTAATACTGCTTTTACTGTATCGCAACTATGTTTTAACAGGGAATATTTAGCTACAGAAACTATATTAGTATGTCAATAATACAAACTAAAGATATATTTATTTGGATAATAACTTTTCGTGTGAGCAGTCTGTGCAGCAATAGATTTAATTTGCGCGCAAATTAACACTACCCACTATTGAGAAATAAAATGATCAAAAAACAGATACATAGATTTAAGGCCTAGGCCAAAAAAGACGAAATCAAATAAAATTGGTAAGCTATGAGAATGTGTCCTACTTCGATAATAATCATTTAAACTTGAATGTCAAATAAATAAGAGAACATTAGCTATGAAACACCACGAAGAACGATTAAGTGGCTATACACCTTAAGAGCAGTGTTGGCCATGTCGCTGCAGCGACTCACATCCCTGAGGTCGTAGGTTCGATACACGGCTGTGCACCAATGGACATTTTATGTATGCATTTCGCAGTCGCTCGAACGGTGAAGGAAAACATCGTTAGGAAACCGGCTTGGCTTAGACACAAGTCGATGGCGTGTGTCAGGCACAGGTGGCTGACCACCTACTTGCCTATTAAATTGACAAATGACGATGAAATATATCACCATAATAATCACATACATCTAAGGGCCCAGCCTTAAAAAGGTTTTAGTGTCACTGTTTTTTAAATACACCTTGTTTCAATAAGTCGTGAGCACATACCGTTTGCTACACTTTTGATTGCCATAACTGAAGGCTGGGTAATATGAGACACCCAACAAAAAGGAACAACAGGATCTATCCTGTTGTTCCTTTTTAAGTATATGTAATCAGTCTAATCTATAGACTGATTACATATACTTCATGTTAAAATAGTATACTCAATAGAACACTCTTTAAAAATTGGTCATTGCAATGAAAACTAAGTATTGAGCGGTTCTAACCACGTGAAGTTACGAATGCTTTTCTGTAATGTGGTCAGCGTTTGACCACATCTATTTGACAGATCTGACAATATGATTAGAGCCTATTGAAATATTGCCATATTAAGGCAATCTATTGTTGTTAATATAATGGCTTAGTTAATTTACTCTCTCCCACCTCTCCAACCTCACGTACACATTCACTTTTTATCACACAATACAGCTGAATTAGGTATAACTTAGTTAAATGTATTGAATAATTTTTATAGATTTTTTCCTTTTCTAAATATTTGAACCTTTTTGTAAATATTATGTATTCCATCTTTGGCTATATCTTTTATTATATATCATTTATGTCAGCTGTACGATTACAACAACTAACTTAAATATGAGCAATTTCATACTAAAGATGCGGTAGGTTTTTTAGGGAAAACATTTTCTTTGAAAATTCCCTAAAAATTTGTGGTGACAACATGGAAAGTTTCGCAACATATTTTTTCACCAATAAAACTGTCCAAACTCAGGCAGAAACTCCAGTGACGTCCATTTGGGACCAAGTTATTTATCCGAGTTAATAACGAAAACAAACACAGTGTGCAAACAGTTAAATAACTATGATATTTATTGGATGAAGCAATAACTTTGATAAATTGTTTATTAATATTAGATAAGATTTTTTGCGTGTAACGTAAAAATAGAAAGGTTTGAAGAAATTCAGCAAATAGACAAAGAGATCTATGAGAATAATAATAATAACATCAAGTTTATATTGATGAATAATTTTAAAGATAAGTGATATCTATATTAACATCTCCAGAATTATTGATGCTACGAAGAAAGTTATTTTTAATGTTGTTTATAAAAAATATAAATCAGTGGCGCTACAACCTTTTTAGCTCTGGGTCTTGGATTTCTGTATCTATTTCATGATCATGTGTCAATCTAATAGGCAAGTACATGATCAGCCTCCTGTACCTGACACACGACACATTTTGTTGGGTCTAAGACAATCTGGTTTCCTCACGATTTTTTCCTTCACACTAAATGCGCACATAGAAAATCCATTGTTGCACAGCCGGGAACCGAACCTACGACCACAGGGATGAGAATCGCACGGTGAAGCAAATAGGCCAACAATTCTTATAGTCCTTATAATTACTATCGAAAAAAGGTAATTATTACTAGCTTTTATCTACCGTTAGAAAGCCTAAAAAACCAGGCAACGCCATTAATGTGGGTAGGTACAAAATATGGGTAATTTTACAAATGTCCGTTAATTAGAATGAACTAATTAAAATATTCACTTTCACATATTTAAGCGTTCGTTAAAAGGATATGCCGACCTTTAAACTCGAAAAGCAATAAAAATCGTAACAGAAATCCCTAATGAAGATCTAAGGTCGTAGAGGCAATTATGAAGCAGACGTTTACGATGACGAGGGTTGAACTCTGACACTGCTAATGTTGGACTAATGTTGGAGACTGAATTAGTATGCGAAATATGTGCCTTTCATACGGCGATACATTACTCTTATTCATAAAAAACTGTCTCATCTTTAACTAAATAGTCATGTTCATCACAGCGTAAGCAGAAATTGATATAAAGAGACGAAACAGTCCTACAGTTTGGTACTCTTTTTTAGGGCAAACGGGCAGGAGCTGATGTTAAGTGATACCACCGCCCATGGACACTTTCATTGTCAGAGGACTCACAAATGCGTTGCCGGCCTTTTAATAATTATTACGATATTTTCTTGAAGGACTCTAAAACAATAACTTGGCGATTAAAAAGAGTGGCGGAGAGTTTATTGCCAGTTCGTCTCTTTCTTTCTACGCCCTTGATTTGAGAACTGGCAGTAAATGTGAAATTAAAAGCATTTCATATATTTTTTTTTTGACGGCAGCTGGTTCTGGCAACTGGCCACCGTAGACCTAATACATTGTATAAAGTTCCTGGACATCAAATAATTTTTTCTTTTAATATTTTATTGTAAAGACCAACCTCCATATACATATATATACTCTAAATATGTAATATATCTTAAATATTGTATATTTATCATTTTTATTGAAATTGAAAAGTTAATTAAAGTAATTACTTCACGTGTAATTACAACCCTCACGTTTTGTGCTTAGACCGTAGTTTTATAATAATTGTGGTTGTATTGTATATTAAAATATATTTGTCCTATATTGACCTAGTATGAGCAGACGGAATAGTACAATAGGTATTTTGTAAGGGACAAATTTAGGAAAATTTTCTATAAAGATTTAGTTTCGAAAAACTTATACAATATCATTTACATCTATATACATCTCTATAAGTGTATCTAACGAACCAATGAAACAATTAGATAAAGCATTTTATGTGTTAAACCGTGGACAACTCTAACTCGAAGGTTAAAGAGAATTTAATTACTCCACACGACCCATTCCCTCGTCATGTGGAAGATACCGATCATTAATTAATTGTATCTATGCCCTTTAAAAAGACTTATTTTTTGCCACAGCCTATAAAAGTGGAATGTCTAATTTTATTCGGGCTGTTCGGGGTATTTGTTGTGTTTCTCCGAGGGAGTCGGTACGGAATAAGTTTAAGGAATTAAATATTATGACACTATCTGGTCAATATATTCTTGAAGCCTTGTTGTATGTCCAAAAAAATATAAACGATTTTAAAACAAATGGTGAC